GTCAGATTAAAGGAAAATAAGCCGACACAGTGTTTGGCCCTTGGGAGGAGCCGATGTACTTTGAGGTCGCCTTCAATGAATAAATCCTATTAGCGGCCACGAAAGCGTATGAAGCCTACTTCATTAAAACGAACAATTCTCTCTCTAAGATAGACTGAAAAAATGACAGGCGAACAATAAATCTCGGAGGATACAAGTATTTAAAAGTGCTAAAGGAAGGGCCTAGGAAGGTGGTAGGAAAGCCCGCGCCTAGTGTAGTAAAGGAGCCTACGAAGCTCGCCATTAATGGGTTAAACAGGAAGGGATCATGAGAGGGGATAAAAAAGATAGCACCAAGGTGTCGGTAAGTGGAAATTAATTGAATACATTTCAGAATATGCAGGAACAGAGAGCAGTTTCAGTCTAACATGCATATTGAATTAATTCCCGACTAGTAAGGAGACTGCAACTATCCGATGACCATGCTGGAAAATTCGGCATGTTTCGTCGAAGGCAGCTTCCGACTTCTCATCCTAACCAGCCAGATTAATTACGCCTTCCTACCTCTTTCCTACCTACGTATGATGTGTTTAAATTCTTCTACTACCGAATTATTATTGGTAGGCTGCAGCTGAATATTTTTCGCACGAATCGGTCAGTCAGTAACACCACCTATTTTCACTCTTCGCTGTGTTACGGTTGGGTTTTGGTTAATAAACAAATTGTTTGGCGAAACTACTTTAAGCAGGTCAAAATAGCATCCTTTCTACATTTAAATGTCGTTTACGTGTTAGTGCTGGTCTTGGAATCTTTCAAGTTGCCTATGTTTGTGCACATCCTCAAGAAGCCAATGTTGTCTGCATCACGATGTGGCTCGACTTCAGCTGCAAGCATCAGTTTTATGTCCGCTGTGACCAGCAATTCTCAGTATCGGTCAGCAAAGGCCGCTGATCATTTCCAACAGCCAACAGCAGCCAGTCCTGCCAACTCTCTCAGTCTTGTGTACCTCGATGTGGAGGGTGCCCCTTCAGCTGACGCATCTATGCGCTCTGATAACATGCTGAAGCCGTCCACCTATTCTTCCGACGCTTGGTGAGTACGCTACTAGGAGTTTTTATTACGGTTTCAATGGAATACCTCATCAATATTTCGCGATATAAAGCTAGGTGACCACCAGACTTTATATGTTTATCTCTACATCGCTGAACACGGAAAGACTTGTTGAGCCTAGCATCTTCTTATAATAAGAAGTCGCCATATTTATCGAAGTTTTTTTCCATTTTGGTGTCTATTACATTCGCTCCAATGCAGCTAGAGGGTGGTTGCGTTGACCTCTTGACTGAGTTCATTCTCGGACGCTCTAACCGAGTGCTCTTTGCCTATGCCACTATCAGAGGCGTTTCTGATTGGTGATGGGGTTCCATGTTCCAAACATCATTTCGCGGTCGGGACTGCCATCGTCTTGAAACACGCCAGCTGTTAATACTTGCGTCCTTTGCAGATCCTTGACACTAAATACCAGACTCCAAATTGCTGTTAAACGAGTATTTTGACTGTCACATCATAACTTCCGTCCTCTCTGTCTGGTTAACCTCGTTTTGAGACCATATGTGTTTACAGACTTGACAGAACACCTTGTACATATATGTCGCACTTTATTTCCGCCTGAAATGGGTAAATCGGAAGTATTTAAAACTCCCTCTCTAAGCGAAGAAATCGGCTGTCTCCACTTCCTGTGGAGTGAACCTCATTTGCCTGAAACTGCGAGACTTTCACATTTGAGTTAGGTGCTGCAAGCGTGGTCAGACAATCACAGTACGGTCCAACTGCTTCCATTTTTCTACCATACTTGGATAGGCAAACGCTAAAGCGACACGGTGTTTTGGGGGAACTATTTAAGCTTTATAGACATGCGTTTCGTCATGATCTTGTGGGTTCACCTGCGTCGCCAATTGTTATATTCCCCAGTTGTATGAGCGGACTAGAAGACAGACAGGATAGCAGAGAATAAGTTAACTATAACAGTCTCTGTGTGTGAATCAACCTCTCCGCGTGGGCCTCAACTTGTTCGCATATCCGTCAAGTTGTCTGCGTGTGCGTCACGTCCTCTCCATCTGCAGCAAGTATTGCCTTCTGTCAGCGACATCGTGTTTAAGGACAAGCGACCTTTGTCCGCTTTTTCTCTCATTATTGGTCCATGCGCGAGCGGCCTATTCCGGCAGTCATCGTGTAATGTCGGTCTCTTCAGGGCCACTCAACCTGGCGGCGCTGTTACGCGTGCGCGTGGTCCTTTGTGTCTGCACACTTTCACGTGTGGGGGTTTCTTTGTCATCCTGACCCCAGGACGGCAGGAGTATTGACTAATTTTCTCCATCGTCCTTACACGTTTGTTTCCGTGCCGTGCCCCCCAGAAACCTGTAATCGAGATTCAGGTAGTGAGTTATTGGTTGTCATCTACTGCGGAGGCGTTTCGGGCCTAAGTTTACGGGCTTGTTAGGCAATACTTAATAAAATATTCATACACAGGTTTTCCAATCCATTTTTTATGGATTGCTTCGGGTTTCGACCAAGTAATTTCCATGCGCCCTTCGCCTGATTCGCAGTTGAGCACAACAAGGACACACTTGTATTTATCTGTTTCTTGAAGATATCCTTGGAAGTCGGGATATGTTAGAACGATTAAGTTGAACGTCGAAGTCATTTATTGCACATACTTTGTGATTTGGAAGCGCTACGGACGAAGCAATTAATACTATTTAAACTTTTCTATTATGTCTGCTTTTCTCCACAGAGCCGCTTGTAGGATTTCTAGACTGAGCCCTGAGGTGAACTGAATTGGCCTTATCGCATCTTTTAACGTTCGATTATGTCCAATGGATATTTGACCTATGCACCCGGTGGAAGAGGTTTTCGAATTTGATTTATTTTCCTCAAGTTCTTTCAGATTTCATTGTCTACGACTCGCGTCATGTAGAAAGCCATCTTCTAGCAGCTGGAGGCGTCTGTCAGTCTTATATATGTAGTGAGAGGGTCCGATATCATGCAGTCTTAAACAAAATTCTAAAATGTGTTTTACCCTAACCCTATTTGCTACTGCTCTCTGATTATGTCTCTGATAATGAATCCGCCGCGGATCTCGAAACGTCAGGCGAATAAAAGTATTACCCCAGCGATCGAGTCGTGTTCTTCTCAATGTGTTTTACGGCAGGAATAACTACCTAACTGCAACTGTAATATTTAGTATCTTGAAGGATAATCCAAAAATACTTTTGGCGCAACAGGTTGTCGGCTTTGGAATGAACATATTTTCAGCCTACTGAAAAAAAGCTAAAACCTAATAAAAAGTGGTTACTTCATTAGTGCGTATTTTTAATAGACGTCCAAAGCCCTTAAAAATTCAAACATGTTTTGCAGAAAGCATATTATTTCTTGTCCCCATTTAATAGTAACTTACGGCTTCTTTAAAATTTTCAGTCGAAGAGAGGCTATATATCTGCTTTTAAAATAGTTTTTAATTGTGAAATCTTTTGATATTGTGCCATGTCCTCTCAATCGTCTCGTGACTATTCGTTTATAAGTGCCCCTCATAAGGTATGCGGTATAATCCACATCTGCCGCAGAATTGACTGAGTACTATAGGTTAGCTTATTAATGACACACCGAAATGCGTGATATTCCTTCCAAAGAGGGAATATACCTTGGAGATTAGAAACTGGAACACTTACTTAAAACGTAAATATACCCATCCTTTGAGTATAACACTTAAAAAAGGTGCGTTTTCTATCATATGAGTAATAGAATATTATCTTGCCATGTGTTTTTTATAAAATATATTTGAATTTGAAAGAGCATCAAAAACATGCAGAAAAATGCCCACTATATAAGTAGCTATACTTTTAGTGACTGAAGTTTTTTCAGGAAGCGAAAAGGCATTCGTTCAAAAGCCGGCATCCTGATGTGTCTGAAATATTTTGGGAGTATATTTCACGGTGATAGGTGTTATACTTCCAATTAAATAACCATTTCTAATCCAATACGCATTTCAGTATTTAGGTTAACACTGCATGAAGTCGGTCAGAGACATTAAATAATCATGCTACTTATAATCTATTCAGTAACTCAGATAAAATATTCAAAGCGCACGTTTGGCGCACCACGGCTACTGAAGCTTTCGGACATGAGTGTTGGAACCAAAAGCGTGAAAGCGCGGAGTCGTTAACCATACTTACAAATTCAAATACTTACTTCAACAATCTTCATATATATATGTGGCTTTGCAGCCTTGTCTCAAACCGAGTCATCTTCTCCGATATGTTGAGTTTCTAGTCGACATAACTTCCGGGGTCTGCGAACATTTCACAGGCAAAGCGCTGATTAAGTGGTTAACATTTTAACCACTTGTGCTGTTTATAAGGAACTAGCTTATCTTAAATTATCGAAAAGTAGACTGTTTTCTCAAATTGTCTTGTGGGGCTGCATTTCATCGTTAAACTTACCATTTGAAACGACATATTTTACGTCGGAGAGAAACCATTATTTGTCGTAAGTTCACTTGAATAATTTAGCTACTACCCCTGGACTCAATAAGTCAATCGATGGAGCTCCCCAATGGTTTATGCTATCTTTCTATGTTTTTCGGTGTTGGAGTGTCTGTTTCCTTCACGAATAAATGATCCATTTACTTGCTTCTAGTGAACTTACATAAAGGGTACTTCGGAACGCTACAAGTCGCTTAAAAACAGTTAATTTCAGAAACTCTGCGCCTCTGTGAGGTTTCCATACAGTATGTTTCTACATATCAAACTAAGTGAGTTAATTTCGAAATTTCCCTGAAAATATGTTTTCTGTCCTTTGTTGCAACTACTATTTACCCCTATAAAAAGTTCCAAAAGACGAAAAGCCCAACATTTATTGTGGCCCAGAGCCGGAAATATTCCAAAGTCACTCTAACATGCTGTGATTTAT